ACACAGATTTGTTCTCGACCACTGCAATGCAGCCGCATCATACATTTTGTATGCGGAAAGGTTTCCTTTAAGAAGTCATCCGACCTCACTGATGTTTGTTTTATTTATTAGACTTCGTGATACAGGATATATAAAAGAACAACGAGATGGTCACAAAGTGAGTATTATCCTTACCATTATTATACCCTACTTTATTCCATCTCGACTGACCGGTGAAATTTATGTAGATTTTCTTCAACGCAATCTGCCACAATTATTAGAAGATGCTCCTCTAAATGTGTGGTTCCTACATGATGGAGCTCCGCCACATTTTAGACTAGAAGCTCATGAAGATCTAAATAATGAGTTTCCGAATAGATGAATACGGTGCAATGGATCCATTTCCTGGCCTGCTCGCTCCCCGGATTTAATCCGTTGCGATTTTTTCAGTGGGGCTATTTGAAAGAGTTGGTGTATCATGATGGAGCTGTAAATACTCTGGAAGAACTTAACAGCGCACTGAATATGCTTGTGGTTTAATTCGTAAACACCGGTATTATATTCTCGAAGCTTGTCCAGAGTTCGTGGATTCGCAGAGCAAGATTTTCCGGTAATCGAACAAATTGGAACAATTTTGTAAAAACGGTAACCATTTAACTTGAAAATGATGATAAATAATTTTCAATAATATAAACTATTTCTCTTATTATGCATTTTTTGTAAAGGTGATTTTTGGTATATCAACTTCTTTTAACTCAACTTTGAAAACGCCCCGTAATTTATTTCATCGAACACTACAAAAACAGAAAAAATCACACCCCTAAAAATGAAATTTAACGTTAGTCTCTCGATGAAAAACGAAAGGTGTTATAGATCTGACAGAACCTTGAATTTGTGCGAGTGAGATATATCTGGATCTTTGTAAAACCGGAAGTCATATACTTCAATAGTGATTACTTTATAACTTCTGTCTGAAAAATTGCAATGTAACAGACATGGCTTTGCTCTAAAAGCGTTCCGTTTTACATTCAAACGGCGAAGTCGTAAAATAAACTTTTGGTCGCAAATTGCTACTTAGCTTTATTACTCTTCGCATATTTGGTAGTTTTATTTGCCCTGAGCCCTTTTCGTGCGGATGTTACGTGGACTCTGCAATTTTGCATTTTTACGACACTTGTCTGCTGTTTAAGAACAATAAAAAGGACCGGAAGGGGGGGGGGGGGTAGTCGAAACTCGCATGCAACATATTCCGGCATGCAACTTTTACAAAAGTTGATTCGGTTGACCCACTTTCGTCCTTTTTTTTTGTCCTCTGTTAAAGTAGATTGTTTTCTTTCGGTATACGTTGCCTGGCTTCTCACATAAAAAATCAAATAAGGATCATCGCCGAGCCGCGACGTTACCTCAGATGCGGAAAATGTCGCTGTTTTCCTGCCCCGGCTCCGTGTTTTCTTACCCGGAGGGCTTTGAAAATTACGTTTTGCTTTGCACGTCTGGCGCGCCGTTAACGGAAATTTCTTTTTCCCATGCTCATATTACGGGCGCGGCCTTAAATTGAATGTTTTTTAATCATGCTCGTACGCACTGTGCCCGGACTCGGTTCGAGTTGAGGATCAACCGCGATAAGGTACAAGGGAAAGGAGGTGCGTAATTCAAAGATGATGCGGCTAGACGGTTTTATTAATTAATAATTCAGTGAAATTTGTTGGTCTAGATCAGTGGTCGGCCAACCTTGTCACTGTGTTGAGCTACTTTGATAATTTCGTAATAAACAGTGAGCCATCTAGTCGTAAGCAATGTAAGCCAACTTTAATGAGATTATACACAGTTGTACGTGGCATACATGTGTTTATTTTACTAATACTAATACAGGGTCTGTCCGGAAAGTAATAGGACTGAGTCGATTTAAAAAAGTTTATTGAGCCAATCGTTACAATTCTTCAAAAACTTTCAAAATAGGCTCCTTCTGCGTCGATGCAGCGCTGCCAGCGAACAATAATAACTTTGGATTTAGAGTGATTCAACCGGAGACTATGTTCTGATGCATAATTTTCAATAGAATTGAGGTTCTCACTATTTGTGCTTCCGAAATTTCTAAATTTTCATGAATGAAACGGAATACTATAAAATTTCATAGCCCTGTTTATATCTCCTATACAGGGTTATCCAAATTAAGTGTCCACCATTAGTAACTTTGTTATTAGTGAAAATACAAAGTTGTTTGAATTAGCAAACTAGTAGCATTTTTAACGCTGGTAAAAATGAGAAATAAAAAAAAACAATTGAGAGTCGTTATTTTGATTTTTTTCAGTGAAATAACATTTTTTTAAATGGAAACCCCTGTATATTATATTTTTTTCTGTTAAAGCATCAAATTTTAAACAAAAAAGCTTACAATAACTTTTCTCCTAGGTTACAAATTGTTGAAGTTAAAGCCTCCAATCTGAAACAATTAAATTGTATCGACAAACTTTATTTTCAACATCAACTTATAATCTTACAAAATACAATAACAATTTTTTTTAAAGAAGATGCTCGAAAACACCACCTTGTTCTTCAATACATTTTTGGGCACGTTTTTCAACTGCTCGAACTGTCTTAAGTATGGTCCTACCATCTATCTGGGTTATCTTTTCCCTAACTGCAGTCTTTAACGCGTCAAGGTTATCGTACCTTCGCTTGTAAATTTGGTTCTTTAAGTAACCCCACAAGAAGTAATCATATCACACTTTTCTTCATGGGAGAACATTTTTCTTTAAATTAATGACACAATAAAGCTTATAAACAAGTATTTACACTAATGTTTGACATTATTTGATTTTATCATTGTTTTCCAAAGCCTTCTAGTTGCGAGTATGTCCAGTTTAACAATTTGTCGCTTATCTTAATGCTGTCAAATCGCGAACGCCATGTTGTTTTCATAGCCGTCTTAATATTATAATACTGCAAATAATTAAAAATATTTATCGTTATTTTGACTTTATTTTTGACTTTAGCGGAAAAGTCATTATGAACTTTTTTGTTTAAAATTTGATGCTTTAACAGAAAAAAATATAATATACAGGGGTTTCCATTTAAAAAAATGTTATTTTACTGAAAAAAATCAAAATAACGACTCTCAATTGTTTTTTTTTATTTCTCATTTTTACCAGCGTTAAAAATGCTACTAGTTTGCTAATTCAAACAACTTTGTATTTTTACTAATAACAAAGTTACCAATGGTGGACACTTAATTTGGATAACCCTGTATACAAAATATACAGAAGTGGTCTAAGAACTGATCCTTGAGGGTCTCCTGAGGAAATCAGACGTTCTGCAGAAAACTACGTATTAAACTTAGTGAGAAATCATTATCCTTGCATTTAGCAATCAAAAGAGAGTGATTCAGTGTATACAGGGTTTGTCTGGAAAGTAATAGGACTGAGTCGATTTAAAAAAAATTATTGAGCCAATCGTTACAATTCTTTAAAAACTTTCAAAATAGGCTCCTTCTGCGTCGATGCAGCGCTGCCAGCGCGATTTCCAGACATTGAAGGCGTCACGGGAAGGCATTCTCCGGAATAGTCTTGAGAGCCGCGGTGCATGCTGATTGGATCCCCTCTGTCGTCTCAAAATGCTTGCCTCTCATCGACCTTTTCAGGCGAAGAAACAAAAAAAAGTCCGGGGGGGCACATCTGGGCTGTAGGGCAGCTGCGGAAGCGTTGGGATGCCGGCCTTGGTCAGGTAGCTGTTCACAAGAAAGGCGGTGTGAGCCGGGGCGTTGTCTTGTCGGACCCGACAGACCCTTCGCTAGAGTTTCCTGGGCACTTCCATGTAAAACTTGGCGTTGACGGTTTGTCCCGGAGGAACAAATTCATGGTGGACGATGCCTTTGATGTCAAAAAAGACAATGAGCATCGTTTCCACTTTGGATTTGCTCATTCTTCCCTTTTTTGGGCGAGGAGACGCCGTCGTGTGCCACTCGGAAGATTGCCTCTTTGTCTCGGGATCATACTCAAAGATCCACGACTCGTCACCTGTGATTACGTTATTCAAAAATTGGGGGTCACTTTCACACATGTTCAAATTTTCTTGGCACACTTCCACTCGCCTGGTCGAGGGGGGCACTTTTGGGACCATCAAATGCTGTGTCACAATGTCATGAACCACAGATTTTGGTAAGTATTACTTTCCGAACAAACCCTGTACATACTAATAAACCTGAAAAACTAATACATAGTACATAACTACATCCATTCCTACCAATCGTAGGTGTTTGAAAAGAGAACAAAATTTTTCCCCATATTCCTTGCCACATATCAAGTGAAGTCCCTGCAATACCTGTTTAACATAAATTGAAGTGACTAGGTGTTTAGGTTCAAAAGTAAATTATCTATTTAAGAAAACAACGGCGTGAAGTATGTCAGCACTATTCCGCACCTGTGCTGTGCTGCCACAAGGTTTAGCCTGCGTCTCGATTTAAAACAAAATTTTGGGCAAAATGAGCTTATTTTACAAAATGGGACCGCATTTAAAGCTACAGACAGAATTAGTTGTATACATACAGTAGATACGGTCAAACTAGCATCTACCATAGCACCAGAGTCGGCGGCATCCGGCGGCCACAGTGGTTACCTGCTGACAGTGCGAACTGGGATACAGTTCCAACAGTCAGCTTGCTGATTTCACTCTTCGCTGTGGTCGAATCTGGTAATAGATTGCATTCTTATTTCGGTATTGAAAATGAAACACCCGATCAACACTTAACTATTATAAGTAGTACCCTTCGTGGTACGCCAGCGAAATTATTAGGAAGTCAAGCATAAAGCAAACTTATACAAGAAGTACGAAAAGAGTCACAATAACCATCTACAAGAACAGTACAAACGTCTTAGATCTGAGGTAAAACGTGGCCTATAAAAATTATACACGTAATGTTAAGATTTCCATCTCTCAAGATCCTAAACATTTTTGGAGTTTCATGCATAGAAAAAATCGAACTACTAGGATTCCTGGCAAAATGAAGTTGAATGACGTCTCACCAGCGATCCTTGCTGTGCTGTCAGTGTATTTGCAGATTTTTTTAATAGTGTTTTTGTTGATCCATCTACTCGTATTGATTTTATTGAAGGCAGGAATCCTACTAGTCAGGTTAACGTATTTTTCAATGACATTCATGAAAATGAAATTATTTCTGGATCTAAAAAACTCAAGAATATAGTAACGGCCAGCCCAGACATCCCCTCGTTCATAAACAAAGATTGTATTCATGTCTTTGTTAAGCCGTTATTAAAAATATACAATCTCACTAAACTTTCTAGAGCGACACCTATTTTTAAATCATGGAATAATACTGATTTTAAAAACTATAGAGCGGTGACAATATTGTCGAATTTCTCCATATTGCTGGAGATAATATTGCATAATAGAATTTACTCCGCAGTTCATAGATCTCTGTCCCCTTTTCAGCATGGTTTTCTTACTAAGAAGTCCACAGTAACTAATTTAACAATCTTCATTCAGGGTGGACCATGACATACTTTTGAATAAACTTTTTTGTTATGGATTCCATTCATCAGCTTTAGCACTCATTCAAAGTTATCTTCATGAAAGGAAGCAATATGTAACTTTTAATGGATTCAAGTCATACCAGTATATAACTAAATCGGGAGTTCCTCAGGGTTCAAATCTTGGTCCTTTATTGTTTCCCATATTTATTGATGATGTTGTGCATTATTTAAGTTGTAATAATCTCCTCTTTGCGGATGATTTAAAATTATTCAAGATATTGAGTCTGAGACTGATAGTATTGCACTTCAGCGTGATATTGATTCTCTTGTGGGTGGGTGTGACGAGAATAATTTATTTCTCAATGCGTTTAAGTGTAGTGTAGTCAGCTTTTCGGGGAAAACTGCTTGTAAATTGAATTATAAAATTGGGAATGCTTAGATACATCGTTATAACTCAATTAAGGATTTGGGTGTAGTTTTTGACCATAAACTTAATTTTTCACTCCACATAGCTCAAAAGGTGAGTAAAGCTTCGCGGGCGTACGGTTTTATTGTGAGAAACTTTAGAAGCTTTAACCGCCCAGAGTCTTGTATTCTGCATATATTAGATCGAAATTGGAATATGCACCGTTAATTTGGAACCCAATGTACAACTGTCACATTGATTCTCTTGAGCATGTTCAGAGAAAGTTTCTGAAATTTTTATCTTTTAAAGTTGACGGTATAGGTATATCCTGAACGTGGTATATCTGAAAGTTTGTTATTGTCTAGGTTTCAAGTGCAGTCTTTAGAACTGAGAAGGAAGTGTACATCTAGTATGTTCTTGCATAAACTACTACTATATACTATAAATTGCTGGATAATTTATGATATGTTACTCACCTGAGTGAAATATGTTTTTTTGCTTCTTGTTCTTGTCTTTAGATGAAATCACCTGCTTTTATGTGTTTTTTGTTCTTGTTATTTTGATTTATCTTAGGATTGTCCTGTAAATGGTTTCTTCTTCTTAAATGTTGGGCAATAAACGCTATTTATTTATATTATTTAATTTATTTATTATAACACATCTTTGTACTTCCGCGCCACTGTATCGTATAAGACGGCAATTTTATCAGCCAAATTGCTATGCATCAGTACGTAATTTCAGATGCTAAGCTATTATTCTGTGTCTGAAGTAGTCTCTATTTGGCAAAGTAACGAGTTTCAGTCTCTCCCACGTTTCTGATGATTCAATTACATTTAAAGGCGACAAAGCATTTTCTTAAGTCGCCGAAGCGAGACCCATTTTTTCTCAAATCTTTAGAAAATTGCGGAATCCTTTTTATAAATTAGTCCGAGCTAGGAGATAGAAATAAGGGACTTCCTCTCGAGATTTTATCCATTTCGTATCAGTCCCTACGGATTTATTCTCAGGCAATATATGTAATATCGTCGCTCAGGTTCTATTGTGATTGATGTTTCATCACTCGTACGTTTATAAACTAAATGACATAGAAAATGTAACACCGACTTTGAGTGCCCTAATTTTGCGCTTTCTTGAAACAAATGGAACCGTTCAGAAAAATTACTGAATACTAAGTAAACATGTTCATATTGTTCGGATCCTGATATGACAAAAAATGCCTTTACAAAAAAAAAGTACGGCTCAGACTGTTTTCATCATTTTATTGTGTACTTCTATGCTAGCAAATAAGTTTTTAACAAAATTGAATAAATAACTCTGGGCGTTGCATTATACAGGGTGTCCCAGAAGTCGACGTCAAGCCGAAACCGGGTGATAGGCAAAGTCATAACAGCTATCAGAAAAATATTTGTAAAAATTTTATGTATGTGTTTTGAAAATTATAGGTCTTTGAAAAAAATATAGAAATTTCACACCCTACGGCAGTCTGTCAACTCCTGTCACTACAAATATTAACTTTTTTTGGATTTTATTTTTACAATGTAATCATGAATAATGGATCTTCAAATCTTCAAACTGGTGTCTCAACCTTGCTGCCAACTTTTCTCGTTCAGGAAAAATTGCCACTTATTTCCCAAGTATTCCAAAGTAAAACTTTGCTCAACTTTAACTGGCTGTACTGGAAAAAAATGTACTACGAGAGTTTGGCAAGTAACCTTAAAAGTTGGCGCATTTAATAAGGATTCCAAAATGGTATAACTCTTAGAAGATTACTCGTTAACTTATGCACAATTTTTATTTGAAGAAAAACTGATGAACATTTTTCAAAATTTCCCAATTAAACAGCGATTATGAAAACGCACAAGGACCCTTAAGGATAACTGTTTGCACAACTGTGGGCGTCAAAATGCTGCTGATGATGATTTACCTTTACAGCTAATGCTCAAACTGTTTTCCTTCAGCCGCAATACACGCTCGATATCTTCTTAAAAAAGATCGGATTATTAAACGAGCGAATCCACGGTTATTAACAAACTCAGCTGCTTCCAATAGTCTTTGCCGTAGCTCAGCTACATTTTGAATCGGCTTGAAATACACTTTTTCTTTTACAGTTCCCCAGTAAAAAAATCTAAAGGATTCAAATCAGGTGATCGGGCTGGCCACGGTATTGTACCAGACCGCCTTATCCATCTGCCTGGAAAGTTTTGATCGAGATACTCTCCCACTGAGAGTGCATAGTGCGCTGGGCAGCCATCATGCTGAAACCACATGTCCCTGTAAATACTCAGTGGCACGTCGACCAATAAATTTTGTACATGATTTTTCAAAAAATCCAAATAAACTTCAGCAGTCAAAGTCTCTGGGAACTCAAACGGACCGATTATTTTACCATTTAAAATTCCTGTCCAATGGTTTATCTTGAAGCGATATTGAGATTTATCTTCTCTCATCAAATGTGGGTTTGCTACGTGCCACTCGTGTAAGTTATGCAGGTTCATTTACCCATCTTTCTTAAATGTGGTCTCATCCGACCATAAAAATTTTTCAAAGAACTGTGGATCTTTCCTGTGTCTTTCTAACATTGTGCGACAAAAAGCAACTCGGGGCTCATAATCCCGGGGCAGGAGAGGTTGAACACGCTGTATGTGGTATGGATGAGTAACGAGTAATCTTCTAAGTGTTATACCATTTTGGAATCGTTATTAAATGCGCCAACTTTTAAGGTTACTTGCCAAACTCTCGTAGTACATTTTTTCCAGTACAGCCAGTTAAAGTTGAGCAAAGTTTTACTTTGGAATACTTGGTTGGGAAATAAGTGGCAATTTTTGCTGAACGAGAAAAGCTGGCAGTAAGGTTGAGACACCAGTTTGAAGATGCATTATTCATCATCACATTGTAAAAATAAAATCAAAAAAAAGTTAATATTTGTAGTGACAGGAGTTGACATACTGCCGTAGGGTGTGAAATTTCTATATTTTTTTCAAAGACCTATAATTTTCAAAACACATACATAACATTTTTTTAAATATTTTTCTGATAGCTGTTATGACTTTGCCTATCACCCGGTTTCGGCTTGACGTCGACTTCTGGGACACCCTGTATATGCCACTTGGTAGTTGACATCGCGAATGCTATTTCCAGTGTTGAAAAATAAAAACAAGGAAAGCCCGTGAACCGAAACTCGCGAACGGTTAATGAACCTGGAGGAAGTTCTACCGTAGTCCGCCGTTGGTCGAGACCATTGTCTTCGCCCATTCAAGGTCGAATAGCTGCTAGTGCTTGCCTAGCTTCTGCCATGTCGTTTGCACCGTCTGTGGCCCCAGCAATCGGATGGTTTAATAACAGTACGGCGTGGTGCTTGACTACCATCTTTGCTCACCATATGGCAATCGACGGAATATACAAGGTGTCCCATAACATAAAGCAAATACCTTGCATGAGAATGTCCCATTAATTTTATGTTACAAACTTGTAACCTACCATAAAATTGTTGGGGAATGCTATAAGTACGTATACTGTGTAGACCTCGTACGATTTGGCCTTACGTATGAAAATGCAATATGTATATGTGAATTACACGGATATGCAGCCAAAAATGGCCTGTAAGGTCATTATCTAGGTCATATTTGACTTAATTGATGTACTGCGTTTTTGATATCCTTAAACTGTGCGGATGGATTTGAGTGAACAGTGTTGGATACGAGGGATGTCTTTTAAGTTTTGCATATTGAAACATAGTAGGCCGCGCGGATCGAACGTCAGTACTGAATCTCAACCTCACTCTTTAGTAAAATTAAATTCAAAGTTTCACAACAATACGTGCAGTGTTCTCACTACAGTGAATTTTTAAATGTCACCAGGTCATTAGAAAAATGGAACTCAACCGAGAACATTTTCGCGCCATAATTTATTACAACTTTCAGAGACGATTATCGCAACAAGAATGCCTTGCTCAGTTACTGTCTGTTTTCGGCAACGAAGCGCCACATCAGTCGATAATTTCCCGTTGGAGAATACTTCGAAAAAAAATAAAGTCAGTTAAAACTACCTTCCGTGTTGTTTTATTTCCATATGAAAAACTTAAAAGACATCCCTCGTAGAAGTTTGTTTTTTAAATATAGGATTGCATGTGGTGACAAAAATGATTTCATTAGACATTTTTTTCGGAGAAAATACTTAAGAATCATAATTTATCATCAAATACAGGAAAATCTACATATTGATGATAGGGATATGTGTTATTTATTAATACAGGTTCCAAAAAGATTAGTTATTGGAAGAATTGGC